TTCCCAGAGCTGGGGACGGAACCCAGGAATCCTGGTCCCTAGCCCCTCACTCTAACCGCTAGACACCACTGCCTTCCTAGAGCTGGGGACAGAACCCAGGAGTCCTGGCCCCCAGCCCCTCACTCTAACCGCTAGACACCACTGCTTTGGCACCTCCACTCCTCTGCCGGTTTGGGGCTGCCCACCCATTGCACCCCCCGCTGGCTACCGACTGCAGGAGTCCTGGCTGCCAGCCTCCCCCTGTTCTACCCCCCAGCCCCTCCTCCCGCCCCGCAGAGTGGGGAGCAGAGAACCCAGGAGTCCTGGCTGTCTGGAGCTGGGACTCCAGAACTAGCAAGGGCAGTGCTTGGGGACCAGTTTATGCGGACACCTCCCTACTCAAAGTTCTGGGATAAAATAGGCCTCTACTCCCTCCCTGGTTCTGTGGAACCTGACACAGATCCCGGTTCCTATGAACTCTCCCCACCCCACAAACCAGTGGGACTGATCCAGATGTGGTGGAGGGGGGCTTGGTAAGGTCAGAGCCTCCCCACCCTTCCCCCAAACAGCTCTGCCAGGCCAGATGGGACTTTCCCATAGGGGTGGGGGTGGTACTCTGTGAGTTATACCTCCTGGGGGGAGGCTCTAGTTACCCCTTCCCCCAAGGTCCCCAGTCAGCAAGAAGGTCCTTGTGACCCACTCTGGGGGCATGAGGGGCAACCCAGCCCACAGGGAGCCCCCTCCCTGCCCCACACGCCAAAAGCCTTAGTAGGAGGGGATGGGGGAAGAAGACCCCAGGCCAGGAGTCAGGACTTGTGGGTTCACATCCTGGCTTTGTTACTAACTCCCTGCATGACCTTGGGCCAGTCCCTGCAGCGAGCTCCGTGCCTCAGTTTCCCCATCTGTAAAATGGGGAGAAGTGTCTGTCCTCTCCCCATCTGTTCCGACTGGGAGCAATTCAGGCCAGGGACTGGCGCAATGGGGTCAGCCAGCCCCAATCTCAGCGGGCACCTTGAGACCCAGCAATAACCTCTGAAGCAAGGAGCAAATTATTGGGTTATATTCACTTCCCAGCTTGGAGGGGGGGGTGCTTTGTGCATCCCGGGGGTGGGAGGGGGTCCAGCTGGAGTTTGGCCCAGCAGCCCCTCCCCCGCACAATTTTCCTGCAGGGCAGAAAGCAAATTGCCCAGAGCTGGACAGTTTGGGGGGGGGGGTCATGACCCGAGTGGGGGCTGATCAGTGGCCAGGCCCGTGGGACAAAAAGTCAGCACCTCTCTCCCAAAGGAACCTCCCCCCAGCAGCAAACTCGGCTACAGGGACCAAGCCCTGCTGCCTGGTTAATATTCCAGAGGCATCTGCCCACCCCCGGCCACCACCCTGGGGCTGGAGAAGCCAGGGGCTATTTTTAAGGCTTTTGTTGCGGGGGAGGGAGGGAAAGATGGGAAAGCCAGAGAGACCAATGCATGGCACTGGGAAGCTCCCCCCCCCACCCCAACAGTGTGCTTATCTTGGAGCATTGGTCCCCTCCACCGGGGGGTGCAGTGGGGGAGCCCCCCATGCACACATTGGTGTGGGGGTGCACCGCCTCCCCAGCAGATGGGGAAGGGACAACCCCCACAACCAGCTCCCTCCTGCAACATCCCATGCCCTCCTTCTCCTCGTTAGGGTGTGCGTGTGTGACGATGACCCCCCCCCATACTCAATTTCCTCTCCCCCGAAGCAATTACTCCCACCCCATCCGCCAGCAAATCGCCATTTTATTATGAAAACCCAGGGCGAATTTGATTTTGGGTGGGAAGGGGGGGGGCGGCGTTTGCAATTGGGGAGGGGGATTGAGATCCTAGATGGGGGCGAAATCCAGGAACTGCCATTAACCTGGGGCGGGGTGGGGGGCTGGCACGGGAGTGAAATTGACACGGGGAGGGAGGGAATCCGGAGACAGCATAGTAACAGGTTTTTCTGTCCACTCATCCATCTCCCTCCATCCCTCTCTCCCTCCATCCGCCTCTCCCTCCTGCTAGCCATCCTCGCCTTGGGGCTAAGCTCCCCCCC